AAAAAAAAAAAAAAAAAAGAGTTTTGGAGCCAGCATGCTTGGACTCAGGCTCTGGGTCTGCTTACCAGCTGTGGGATCTTGAGTCAGCTACTTAACTCTGTCCCTCAGTTTCCTCATCCTATATCATAAATATAAGGATAACAATAGTATCCACCTAATAAAGTTGTTATGAGGATTAAATAAGTTAACATTTGCAAAGTGTTAGAGTAGTTCTTGGGATAGAGTAAGGGCTATGTAGGTTTGATAAATTAACCCCACCAACAAACAAGCCTTTTCTACGGACTGTGTTCCAAAGGTTAAAGTTGCAGGAAGCAGAAATTCCTTCCCTAAGGAGGGGGATTATACTTTCTAACTTAAAATGTCCCCAAAGTACACTTCCCTTTGACCTGGCAATTCTACTCTTAGGACTCTATTCCAAAAGAAAAAAAGTACCTGTTCCTAAATACATATGTATAAGGATGTTTACTGCAACACTGTTCACAGGGGTCAAGAATTGGATCTATTATATGGACACTGAACAGAATGCTCTGAAGCATGAGATATGAAGCGAGAAAAGCAAGATGCAGAAAATTATTTGTTATGATTCCACTTTTGTCAAAGAAACAAATGTTTAATTTATGTATATACATGTGTGTGTGTATTGTTTATGTGGGTATGGATAGCCCAGAGAAATTACGGAAGAACATGCACTAGAATGTTAACATGACTTACCTCCAGGGGCAGAGACGGGGAAATGCAATGTTGAATGCGTGTGGGGAGCAGGGCTGGGGAAAAGGAATCCATGATAAAAACAGCATATATGACATGATTCCATGTGTATAAAATTACACACAGACACACACACACACACATGCTTCGTCTCAGTCTCTTCATCTGAAAAATAATCCTTCACTTGCCTCCCTTCAAGGGTAATTATGAAGATTAAGTGTGAGAATGGGTCTGAGATCGTGCTCGGAAAACTAAAAATCGCACTAATCGCAGAGGGATGATTCTCTTGTTTCTTAGACAGCAAAACAATCAGAACTTACCAATGCGGACACTGACCAGGGGCCAAATATTCCTCCTTCTCCAAACACTGGCTCAAAGAAGGGCACGGCGACCAGCAACATGGCGGAGGACACTGGGGCCTGGTAGTACAACAACTGCATCGAGTTCACTTGCAATTCATGCTGTTTGGCTCCTACCCACTGAAAATCGGGAGACAAAACACGTGAGGTAGGAAAAAAATACCACCGCTTAGTAAACAAAAGATGCGACTCTAGTCACAGGGATGGGAACTTAGGGCAGGGCTGGGGGAAGAGGAAATGCCTAATTATTCTACAAGACTCCAAAGATCAATTAGAAAAAAAAGATCAATAATGTATACAAATGTCCTTTAAGCACCTTGGATGAAAGGAGCTTTACAAATTCAGTGTATGTCAATCTATTTTCTCCTCAGTATTTATAAAGAAAGGAGAAAAAATATCCTCTTCCCTGCCAACCCTAGTAAATGAGCAAGTCCATGAATTCACACAGGGGCCCATGAGTTATCAGAGATCTTGGGGAAAGGAGACAAGAATGGAAATTTAGGTGATAAGCAGGAACAGAGATGCAGTGCTAGACTTCATTTCTTTCTAAAACTGCACCCCCCCAAAAGAAGTAGGGGGTGAGCGGGGCAGACTAATTAGGGATTGACAGGAACCTCAGCTACCCTGGCTGCCAGTGTGGGTGGCTAGAAAAGTATGTGAGGCCTTTTCCTTCACGTTAGAAAACAATCAATCAATGGCAGAAGGAATTTTCTTCTTTGTGGATGATTTTTCTGTGGGTAATCCAATACACTTGAAGAAATTAAATAATCGCAAATCCTTTTAAAAGACTATATCATTCAGGGGTGCCAGGGTGGCTCAGTCAGTTAAGCGTCTACCTTCGGCTCAGGATGTGATCTCAGGGTCCTGGGATCAAGTCCCACATCAGGCTCCCTGCTCTGCAGTAAGCCTGCTTCTCTCTCTGCCTGCCTTCCACTCCCCCTGCTTGTGCTCTCTGTCAAATAAATAAATAAGATCTTTAAAAAAAAAAAAAGGCTACATCATTCAGAGGGTGCCCGGGTGGCTCAGTCAGTTAAGTGTCCAACCCTTGATTTCAGCTCAGGTCATGATCTCAGGGGCGTGGGATAGAGCCTGAGTTGGGCTCCACACTCAGTGCAGAGCTGGCTTGTCTCTCTCTCTCTCTCGCTGCTCCTCCCCCCACTCCATGCTCTCTCTTTTTCTAAAATAAATAAAATCTTTTAAAAAGATTCAAAAAAATAAAGGACTATGTCATCCAGGAGAACCAACACCTCAAATCCCATCAGTCCTCAAAATGTTTCGCAAATATGACTAAAAAGAAGGCTTTAAAGAAAGCCTGACAAGGCTGCTTGAATAAGATCTGGCATGAACAGCCAGGCTTTTGAATAACTGCTCCTACATAATTCTTTTTCCTGTAGATCTGGGTATCCTGTTCTATAAACTCGAAGGCTACAGAAATTCACCAGGACAAAAACAGAAGAGCAGGAAATTTGAAACATACTCCCGCCAGCCTTAACTGAGAGGCTTCTGTGAGTATGAAGGACAAAGAATCGATTCTCCCACGGCCTGCTCCTGGGGGGGGCTGCAGAGTGTGGAGGCCCGGCCCTCGGTTTCTTTAGCAGCCTCCCCAGGCGGTTGCGTGCCTGCCGTAGAGCTGCCTGGAACGGTGGCTCTTCTCAGGGCCTCCACTTTCCCTCTGTGCACCTTGGCTTCTGCCCGCCATTGCTCTAAATGCAACTGCTCTCCCAAAGGGCACCGTCACCTCCAAAGGTCACCCTTCTGCGCTCTGCCTGACGGGGCTCTCTGCGGGCCCGGCAAATTTCTCCTGGGGGAACTTGACTTCTGGTCTGCACTGTCTCCTCACTCACGTCTTCCTTCATTTACTATTTTTAAGGTAGATGTCTGGCCTTTTTCTTTTATCTCCCTGACTGATCTCACTTACACCAGAAGACATCTCCAGCTCTGACCTCCGTTCTCAGGGCATCCTTAATCCCCAAATGTCAACAGCTTACCGGCCACCTTCACTTACCCGATCTGCAGGGACTGTTCTAAAACCAACTCAGTACTTACTTACTGTTGCTCCCATAATTAAAGACCTAATCTCCCCCAAGGATGAGAGGCCTTACTTTTCTCACTCTACATTCGGTCCCGTCCTGCTAATTCCTCCTCCAAAAGGTTTCTGGCCTCTATCACTGTCTTGCTCAGTGCCTTCCTGTCTTCCCCTGGAACCGTGGAGAGCCTCCTGACTGTTCACCCATCATGTGCCACCAGAGTTAATTCGCTGAAACACAGGGACCGATCAAGCCACTCCCCTATCTAAACCCCCTTCCTGGCGCCTGCAGATAAAGGGCACACTTGCTTAGCACGTGCCATCTGGTCTCACCCACCCGTAAGCCTCAGCCTTCCACGAGGCAACTACAGTCTCACCAAATCCATCAAGTCCTCCAAAGACGCTCCATCCTGTCACACATCTTTGCAAAGAAAGACCTCTGCTGTATTTCTCTGCTAAACAAACTCCTGTGGGCCCTTCCATTTAAAGTGTCAGCTTTTCCATAAAGTCTTACCTCATCATCCCCTTGAAGAACTGCCACTTCCTCTCGGGTGTTCCTCAGAACTCTCCTCATACCCTCAGCTACGCTGCTTGTGGCTGGCTGTCTACAGCTAAGGTTCTACAGCGACTGTCTCTACAATGCTGGATTTTAGCTGCTTTTCATCTTTGTATCTTCAAGGCTGAGCATCAAGCAGAAGGAATGTCTGCTAAACGAATGAATAAGGGCATCAACTGTCTTTCCACAACTAAAGCTAATACCTGGTCACTCATCCTTTAACTCCTTTTAACACCCTAGCAGTATAAGAAGAAATAACTTAGGAATTACAGCTGGATACAATGGGAAAATACAACTTTTTTAAAAAATGAACTTTTGGGGAATACACCTAATTCCTTAACAGTACTTTTACTGTTTACTAATAATAGAAAACTCTGCCTATTAGTTTGTCCACAACCATTCCTTAGGCAATCCCATTTCAAATATGTACCTGAGGAATATAGAATCCTTTGATTCTAATCTACAGCAATTTTGAGACTTGTGGGGAAAAAAAATGGTCATATTGGCAAGGACAGTGAATAAGCGGAGTTGAAATTATGTGTAAGGAATACAAGAAATTCTGATGCTTAATAAACAGTTAATCCCTCCTGGGCCAAAAAAAAAAAAAAGAAAAGGTCTGTTTAACAAAAAAAGACAAATAGGAATGTTCACTTACTGTATCTAGTAACAAAATTTAAACTCACTGAAGTACATCTAAGTACAATCTTCTTAAAGCACAAGGCTGAGCTTGCTCTCATTCCTCTCTGTAGTGAAAGACAGAATATCTTAGAGCCAAATGACAGCACTGAGTGGGTGCTCCGTCCTTTCATGACACTGGTCTCTTATTTACACTGCTTCTTCCCACTTAAAAATGTACTCAGCCCCACAATGTTTATATAACAATGTTTCTGAAATGATCAGTACTAGAAAGTTTCAGATGTAAGGCTGTATTCTTAAAGTTGTAGCATGCAGAACAAGAATGCCTTAGTTTATAACCAGCAGATATTTGTGAAAAGAGAATATTGGTTACACATTGCGGCTCTGACTCCCCATGCAGGCACACCCAGAATTTCCAGTCCAAGGTTTTCAGTATAGAGAAAATACTGTTTCACTGCACCCTACACCAAGTTATTTTTCCCCCCATGTAAGAAACAAAAAACCATACTTGTTGAGATTTTATGGTAATGAAGTAAGTGGATCCATGCACAAATTTTTAATGAGTGCCTGCTGTAGGCAAAGTACCGTGCTACGACAGTACCAGAAGTGAAATATCCATTGCTAGAAAATACGGATGCAGACAAGTCACTGGAAGCTGACATACAAGTTGTAACAGCAGCAGATTTTTTGAGGCAAAGATTTATAAATCTGAAGTTTTCCTTTCCTGTTCCAATTTTGGAAAGGTATTCGTTCCTTCACAGTAATCTTGTCATTAAAGAGTAAGTCATAAATTTAACCAAAGCTCTCAGTTTCAAGTATGAAGTCTTACTACTCATTTTGTTAAGATTTCCCAGGTAATGCTATAGCATCCCCCCAAAATCAAATTGTTAAGCATGGGGATTATACACTTACAACAGGTAGGGAGGTATTTGGTGAGCATCATACACCCAAGTTTCTCTGTCTCCTTTCTTCTCTTCACCTTGAGTCAGACAATTTATGCAATTATGCTTTCTTCCCAACAGCCTATTGTCTCTATACTGTATTTTCTAAACCTTGGGATACAGCTTCAAAATTTATGAAATCTGCTAAAAAGGCACATAAAGAAAAAAAAATTACCAACCACTTGATAAAGGGATGTAACTAAAACACCAAGAGCGGCAAACACCATTCCAAGGAAATTAAACTTCACATCGTAATAAGAATTTAGGATTACACCTAAAGTTATAGGAATCTGTAAAGAAAAAGAGGCAAATGTTGTTTAGATTAAATTCATGAGACATAAACTTAGTATTCCTTTCATGTTGTCTTACAAGGTTAATCATAAAAACATCACTGGGAAACAGTGAACCTCTATAAATGGATTTTTTTTTCCATTTGATAAAACAAACCGATTTCCTCAAAGTGAAATATGTTAATTCTATATTTATATTCATATTTAATTCTACTTAAAATTCTGGGTAAAATAATGAGTCAATGCATTTAAATTTGCAACAAACACATACGACCTGCAAGCACAGAGGAGTAAATGGACCCCCCCAAACTAGTGCCTAAACAACATATAAGCATGAACGTATAACAAAAGCATTAAGAATTTAAATACTGTAGGGCGCCTGGGTGGCTCAGTCGTTAGGCGTCTGCCTTCGGCTCAGGTCATGATCCCAGGGTCCTGGAATCGAGTCCCGCATCGGGCTTCCCGCTCTGCGGGAGGCCTGCTTCTCCCTCTCCCACTCCCCCTGCTTGTGTTCCTGCTCGCTATGTCTCTCTCTGTTAAATAAATAAATAAAATCTTTAAAAAAAAAAAAAAGAATTTAAATACTGTAAATCATTAAGTGCTAAAATTATCATCTCCTTTTATTTAAAGACACAGAAACCTCTGCAGTATGTCGCTGCAGACATATTCGGAGACATATTTTATGCTGAACCTTTAACGTTTACATGATTTGATTCCCCTGCGTCAAAGGAGGGCCGCTTTTCAGTTTGAGATTTTGCAGATATTCCGATACACTGAATTGCGTAACGCAATACAGCCTTCTTTTCTTACCAATCACAGCATTTAAGGATTTCCATCAAACAGTAGTTACTAAAACTCACACAAGCACACTCTCCTGGGCTAGGAGCCCGACAGAGTGCCAAGATGACTTTTTTCACCTCTCCCAAATAAGCCTGAGGTTCACATGGTCACAGATGACTCATTTGTGGATTTCAAGATGATGGGGAAAGAGCGTGGCGCAAGGTTAAACATTCAAATTTCCCGGGGAGAAAGACGGTCCAGGTGGTGGATTGTTAAAGGTGTGCCTTGCGAAGCTGAAGCTACTCACCAGCGTGAGCTGTATTTTGGTAGAGAAGGTTTTCTTGTAGCAGAGGGTCTGGATGACTATGATGACCGGCGTGGTCATGGCCTTGGCCAGCTGATAGGTGCCTATGGTGTTGTTCTGCAAAGAGAGATTGGTGAAGACCACGAAGCCGCAGAAGCTGAGGGCCAGGAGGAGGAGTTTGGAAGGCGGTAGACTTTTGGGGGCAAAGATCTCCAGCTTCTGGCAGATGTACAAGCCCAGCCAGGTGACCACGAAGTGCACCAGGGTCAGGCTCATGTTAGGGAAGCCGTGGTGCACATAGATCCATTTGTTGAGGAACACGATGCAGATGGACACCAGTAGGTTGAGCAGGAGCCCAGCGGCGATGCGCCCGTTGCCTCGCATTCGGTCCGCAAGCGATGCCATAACCCCCGCCAAGCCGGGGCCCTCCAGCCCCCGAGAGGGATGCCCAGCCTGTCTCCCGCTGCTCTTCCCCTCCGCCGCCGCCGCCACGTCCTCTCCGGCCTCACCGTCTGGCCCGGGAGAGGCATGCACTCTCCGCGTCCCGGGCGCGCGGCAGCCTCAGCGGCACACACATGCTCCGCCACCGCCCATTCAGCTGGTGCCGACGCGGCAGCACGTCCCGCGCGCCCCGCCCCCCTCCGCCCGCGACCACGTGGCTCGGGGCGCCCGTGCTTCCGCCCCCGAGCTGTGGGTGGAGCAGTGTCTACCCTGCGCAGGCGCGTTGGGTTCTGCGTGAGGAAAAACTGCGTCCTCGGTCCCCCACCTCCTTGATCGCCTAACCCGGACTCTGGTGGGTTCCATCTGGGACTCCTCTCTTGATGTTGGAGATTTCCTGTGTGTCACTTGACTCACATGCTAGACAGCTGCTCTCAGACTGCTGGAGTGCAGACACTATTGGCCAGTTTTATGTATGGGACAGGGGCTGAGCAAATGTAGTCATCACTAGAGAGGGGAAAGCATTACTTCCTGAAAGCGTATTTTTAAACACTTTATTTTAAAAATCAAAATAAGCAAAATAGTATGATGAACTCTCATACTCATCATTGTTAGTACACTATTTAGATTTTCTTCTTTTTGAATCCATGTTGGGCCTTTTAATTGTTCTAGGAAAGTGTCCGTTTAACTTAGATGTCCTAATGCTTGGTTAGAGTTGTATATAGTGATCTACCATATTTTAAATTTATTTCATCTGTTGTTCTAGGACTTATTGTAAAAACTATGCATTTGGGTTTTCTCTGTCCCTTGATTATTCTTGCCAGTAATTTGACTATTTTAAGCTTTTTTTTTTTTTTTTTAGATTTTATTTGTCAGAGAGAGAGCACGAGCAGGGGGAGCGGGAGGCAGAGGGAGAAGCAGGCTCCCCACTGAGCAGAGAGCCCATGGGGGACTGGATCCCAGGACTCTGGAATCATGACCTGAGCCTGAGCTGAAGGAATTGCTTAACCGACTGAGCCACCCAGCACCTCAGTAGTTTGACTATTTTATTGGCCTTTTCAAAAATTACTTCTAGGGCACCTGGGTGGCTCAGTCGTTAAGCGTCTGCCTTGGGCTCAGGTCATGATCCCAGGGTCCTGGAATTGAGTCCCGCATCGGGCTCCCTGCTCTGCGGGGAGTCTGCTTCTCCCTGCTTCTCTGCCTACTTGTGTTCTCCATCTCTCTGTCAAATAAATAAATAAATAAAATCTTAAGAAAAAAATTACTTCTAGTGATTTTGATTCAAGTTATTACTTTTTTTCTTCTTTTCCCCCCTAATTTCTTGAATAGAATGTTCAGTTAATTTATTTAAAAATAAAAGGACTGGGGCGCCTGGATGGCTCAGTCATTAAGTGTCTGCCTTCGGCTCAGGTCATGATCCCGCGGTCCTGGGATCAAGCCCCACATCGGGCTCCTTGCTGGGGGGGAAGCCTGCTTCTCCCTCTCCCACTCCCCCTGCTTGTGTTCCTGCCCTTTTGCTCTCGCTCTCTCTCTGTCAAATAAATAAATAAAATCTTTAAATAAAAATAAAAGGACTTAGGGGCACCTGGGTGGCTCAGTGGGTTTGCGCACAACTCTTGGTTTCCACTCAGGTCATGACCTCAGGGTGGTGGGATGGAGGCCCTGGTCTGGAGCCCTGTGCTCAGCGACCCAGAGTCTGCTAGAGATTGTCTCCTTTTCCCTCTCCATCCCTCTCTACTCTTCCCCCTGCTCACTTGGACATGGGCACGCATACTCGCTCTCTAAAATAAATAAAGTCTTTGAGAAAATAAAATAATAAAAAAATCAAAGGACTTAGGCTATGAGTTTCCCCCCTGAGAATAGCTTTACCCATAGTCCTCAGGACATTTTAATATTCTGTCCTTAATTCCTAAGTAGTTTGATTGACAGTTTTAATTTCCTCTTTGATGTAAGAATTATTCAAATATTGAGCACCTGTTTTGTGCCAGGCACTAAATTTGGCACTTGGAAGATAGTGGAGAGTAAAGCCACACCAGACCCTCCCTCTCCCTTATAACTTAGTGAGAGAAGACTGGTAGTAAACAATGATCAACTATGATAAATGAATATTTTGAAGTAATAAAATATGGTCCTGTGAAGGTATAAGACAATCAGATCTAAACTTGGGGAGGGGGAGGTGGTCAAGAGGTTCCCCAAGGAAATGAATCTTTAAGATAGGAGAATGAGTAGAAGTTAATTAGGCAAAGTCTAAGGTCTAGTTTTCCTAACATGGTCTTCCTGATAAGCTTTTAAACCTCCTATCATGCCACCAAATTCTACGGATTCATACCACACCATGAGCCCTTTCCACTGTTTATATTGCCATCCTCCCTTCTAGTTGGGGTCTACAGAACCCTCTAATCAACGATTTACAATGTTTACCCTCACCTGCTCCCCAATTAAGAGCCGTGGCACCCTGTCTTCATTTAGTCTACTCATTGTCTCCTTGTGGTTATAGATTTGGATTGATAATTTTAGCATGGATAATAAATAATCTTTTTATCATTCATCTATTTATCTTGCAATATTTGAAGATAGTTACGATATGAAATCTGAAATTTGGGTTAAAATATAACAGTATCTAGTGGATTTCAAATGCCTGTTGGGTTAGAGTTACTGAGTCTAACTCCGTATTTGCCATTTAATCCAGGTTTCTATTGTTCTGGAAACTGCCCTTCTCCAGACTGATTTAATTGATTAAGCGGTTTTCTCTACCTCCTTAACAAAGCACAGTAGTCCTAATCTTTACTTGTCCTGAACTGTGATTTTTATCTTTATTCTCATTTACAGATGTTGAAAATAGAGGTTCATGGCTGTTACCTTGCAGCTAGAGGGATGAGAATAAGATTCCAACCCAAATTTCTCTGGCTCCTGGCCCACTTCCCCTCCTTTTTATTATGGAAAATTTCAAACTTGTGCAAAGTTAAAATACCTATCACCTGGTTTCAACAGCTGCCATTTTCATGTGTACCTACTCCTCACCTCTCCATTTGATCTTTCAGAAGTAAATTTACTTTCACTCAAATGCAATAATCTAAACTGTACGTTTTTTGATAAATGGATGCACCTATGTAACCCACACCCGTTGAGATACATTTCCATCACCTCACAAAATTCCCTAGAAAACCCCCACCGCCCCATGCCCAAGAGGAAGCCACTTTCATTTTCATTTTTCTTTCGCCATGGCTTTGACTGTTCTAGAACTTCATATAAGTGGATCGTACAGTATGTACTTCTGGTGTCTAGGTTCTTTTGTTGAGTAGAGCAGTGCTTTCCTTTTTATATTGCTGAGTAGTGTGCTTGTTTAGTCATCCTACCGATGGTAATTTGGGTCATTTCCAGTTTGGGGCTATTATAAATAATGCTGCTATGAATATATTTGCACAAGTGTTTTTGTGGAATTTATTTTCATTTCTCTTGAGTAAATATATGAGTGAAATTTCTAGGTTAAAGGGTAGGTGTTTGTAAGAAAGTCAAAACTTTTCCCAGAGTGTACCATTTTATATTCCCCCACCAATGTATCAGTCAGTTGCTCCACAATTTGGTGTTGTCAGTCTTCTTGATTTTAGCCATTTTGATAGATATGTGGTGATATCTCACTGTGGTTTTCATTTGCATTCCCTATTGATTTGAGTACTTTTTCATGGGCTTTCTGGTTATGCATATTCTCTTCCTTTATGAATCATCTATTCTTCTGCCTACTTTTTGCTTTATTATTGAATTGTAAGAGTTCTTTGTATATTCTGAGAGGTTTTTTTGGTCAGATATATATATATATATTAAAGATTTTATTTATTTATCTTACAGAGAGAGAGAGA